CCCGCCCCCCTCACAACACAGTCCTCACTTCACATCACAAGTCTCTTCTTCACATCAGAAGCTCCCCTTCAAATCAGAAGCCCTCTCTTCACAACAGGAGCCCTCCTTCTTCACATCAGTCTTCCCTTTACATCAGAGGCACGATGCTATGCAAACATTTTGAGGCACTCCTGAGGAAGCCAGAAGACACCTCATTGTGCTGCAGCACCTGGTTGAGAGAGGCTGGTTTATGGTTCTGAGGATGCTTGTCTTTAATTTATTTCTTGTTGTCTTTTGAGTGAACTTGATTGACAGGATCTTCTTTTAGAAATAACCCCACCCCCAAAGAGCTAGCTGATTTTGATGCCGTTATATTAAATAATTTGAATGTAACTGCCAACAAGGAAGGCCAAGGTACCTTTTTATATTGTAAAGGTCAACCCCATCTGCAACTTCTGCTACTGTTTTGGCTTGGCTACACTCATTCCCATAAGTCCACAATAATTGTATCACTTTTGCAGCTTGACTTGTTTTTATTCCTTCCTTATGCGCAATCCGTCTAGAAAGCATGACACCATTATTTGATTTTGCAATGGCCATGGGCAGCCAGGAAGTATGAAGTCTTCTGGTGATACCTTGCCATTGGTGTTACCCTGAAAAATAAATGCCTTCACATGCTTGCAGCCAGCCAAGCAAACCTGCAGTATCAGTTTTTGGGTAGAGTCGTCCTTTAATTCTTCTCGGGTTTCCTAGGCAACGCCATCCTGCCTGAATCTTCAACGACGCCGGCTTTATTTAAATATAGAATTAATTTTGGAACATTGAGATATCTAATTGAACACTTCAAGTTAAATACTTTAATTTTTTCACTCCTAACGAGACTTAACAAATTACACCGACCCGCTAAAACCTCGCTGTTTATGGAAACGTTCCGTGATATAAATAATCAGATAAGTCTTTTATGTAGCGGGGGAAAGCGAGAGCATATGTAAATTTTAGAATGAACAGAATCTGCGTTAGTGTTAAGTACAGTAGTTATAAGGACAAAAAATGTTTCTGCCTGAAAAATTAGCCCTGTACACTGGGACTTTACAAGATCGCAACTGTTGCATCACTCCTCCCTGAGAGTTCATTCTTAAAGGAATGCTAATCTCACAATTCCATATACCTCGAGGGCCCATTGACACTGGTGCATTGCAGTGATGCATTTTAAATGCACATTTTAATCAAACAAGGGCATGTTAACCTATGCACCTAAATACACCTAGCAAGCACACAATAATGGAGGTGCATTTCGTGAACCACAATCTGTGTGTAGTGGTGTAATGCTTTGAGCAAAATACTGCAGGCCCGTAAAATCTGTGTTCTGGCGTGTCAAAATGAATGCCTTATCGCAGTGAACATTGATGTAAAAAATATCGCACCTGCACTGCAAGTGGCAGAACAGTGCGAATGGGCCCTTATCGGGAAACCAAAGTCCTTTTTTTTTTTTAAGTGTATGTAAACCCTAACAACGAATTTCTCTTATTTTTTTCCATCTGTTCTGTGATATACTGTATACAATTAAGAGTGTTTTGTTAGATCTGTTGAATAATTGCAAAGTAAAAGCTGTTTATCCTGCCAGAAATCGTGTGCACTGTACTGTGCTGTGCCACTGATGCGCTGTTATCAGTTTGCATTGTTTCCAACTGTCTATGCGCACTAATAGACACCTCCCCTCAAAAAGAAAAATGGAAAAGAGGAGAGGGTGAGGCGTTCTCTAGTCCTAACACACTTCCTGTCCTCAAGTGGCAACACTGCTCCTTCATAGATAGATACAGTGCAGTGAACCATCTTCCCAGCCAATCAGCATGGAGCCAACTTCCCGGCAATCAGGAAGCCGGGCAGCGAGTATTGACCCGCCTCCTGGATTCCTGATTGGCAAAGCCGGCTCAATGCTGATTGGCTGGTAAGCCGCCTTCCCAGCCAATCAACATCAAGCTGGCTGTTCGGCCGGCTCGATGCTGATTGGCCGGAAAGCTGGCTTCCCAGCCAATCAGCATGAGGCTGGCTCGATGCTGATTGGCCAGGAAGCCGGCTTCCCAGCCAGTCAGCGTGGAGCTGGGTTCCACACCAATCAGGAAGCCAGGAGGCGGGTCATTACTCACCGCCCGACTTCCTGATTGCCCGAGAAGCCAGCTCCATGTTCCCCTACGGCACTGCCGGTCAGAGGAAATCTTCCTCTGACCGGACGTTCCAGCATTGAGGAAGGTATCAGAGCATTTGGGTAAGTATGGGTACTCGGTATCAGCACCGATACCAATACTAGTATCGGTATCAGTGCATCCCTAATTGCTGGAGATCTGGATTACTTTGTTGAGCAGCATTCTGGATCTCCAGTGTACTGCCAGCATAGGGAATAGTGGAAAAGCTGCAGCATGGATAGATAGATAGAGAGATAGATAGATAGATAGATAGATAGATAGATAGATAGATAGATAGATAGATAGATAGATAGATAGATAGATAGATAGATAGATCCTGTCACCAGACCATTCACTGCAACAAAAATATTCCCATAAGATTATATGAATGTTAAACATATTTATGCATACCGTATGTTATGCATGTTATTTACTTATTAAAGCCTCCCTTGTAAGACATCGAAGAGGCCTGAGACTGGTTCTGGGTGCCGCCATCTTGAATGTGATGTCAGTAGACCCAGCAAACTCAGAGCTGACACTCAATAGCATTCCCCTTCACTACTTCCCTGGCAGCTACAAAGGGTTATGTAGGGAGGTGAAGGGGAGAGGAGCTGGGTCAGCCTAGCTAGTAATTGGATTCTTCCAGAAGAGGAGAGCACTTTGATGTACAAAGAGAGAGGGGGCTGTGATAGGGAATTGACTCGTCCTGTAGTAGTCACATTTTCTAGCAAGTTTAATGGCACATTGTAAGTGAATTAAAATAATTTAAGGGAAGGAAAAAGCTGCAAGTAAGCATTTAAAATACATGTTTTTTCTGTGCTTTTTCCAAGGTTTCTTTATCCTTTAAAGATTAGCCACTGAAAATGCACCATGCTGCTACCTAAAATTAACATTCAGGTGAGCAATATGAGGGTCGCCATGGCTGATCTCCTACTGAAAATGCTATTTGCACAGCTGTTATGCTGACCGCATAGGTTGCTGATCCAAAAGGCATGCTGATCAGCCTAATTAGAGAAGTCCTTATTGGAATGCATATTCCGGATGAGTGGTTCAAAGTACTAATATAAGAGGGTCAGCCAGGCAGCCAGCATCTTCTGGAGGAAAGCTCAGAAATGCAATCTCCATGCTTCTCTTATGAGTGGTTTACACCAGGGGCAGGTGGCCGAGTACTAATTAGGTAATAGGAGGTGACAGTTGGCAGTATAAGCTGTCAAATACTTACCTGCACATTCGTCCCTCCAGTACCAGTTAGTATATGGGATACCCCCCTGCGCCCCCATCTCAGAATGCAATGCCACAGGCCTGACTGCCTTCTCTGCAGGCCCAGATGTCTTCACGTGGGCGGCTTGAATATGCTTATGCAAATAACAACCATCAGAAAGATTCTGCTTGCATATTAACATAGGGAGGGCTCCATGTAGCACTAAGACTGATGTGCTCCCTTTTGACTGCTTATTCTGTCATGTCATGGTACCTGTCTAGATCCTTTATACAGGTTCATTTTAAAGCTAAATAATATTTTTTATGCTGAACTTCTCACAATTCAGGTTGAGATCAATTTGAAGAGATACCCGACGCCATATCCAGAAGATCTGAAGAACATGGTGAAGTCAGTCCAGAACATGGTGGGGAAAAGTCATAGCTCCTCTCTGGAGAACTCTATTCCAACTCCTACACCAAGCGCTGAGCAAAACCTCAAGGAAAAATATGAACATAAGTGGCCGATGCCCACCAAGGAGATGAAATCTGAGGTGAATGGACAATTGCTTTTAAAACTCACTAGGCTTTTTCAATATAGTGAACCTGATTTGGACTTAAACATTAGTAAAGTTTCAACAAAGATGACATGTAGGCTCCTGGTCCTGGTGCTAGTCTTCAAAGCAGTCCCTCTGTCCCTACTGAGCTCCCTTGGAAACTAGACCCAAGATGATGGATTCTCAACCGTTTTCCAAGTTTAAAATAAGCTTTTCCCTTGTGTTTATAAGTCCTACCATCTATGATTTTCATTTCAAAGTCTCTGCTTCCAGTTGGCATAGGACAGTTGAATGACAAAATGGGGCAAAGACCAAGAGGGATTGGGGCTACACCATGGTCCTTGTGTGTTGTAAAGTAGCCACCGCTCCAAGCTCACTCCCTTGATAGCCTACAGCCTCACGTTTAGTTTACTAATTTGCATTGAAATGGTAGTTTATCACAGGAACTTGGAGCTTGGATCAGTGGCCACTTCACAACACACACATCAGCACCAATTCAGAGATGATTTGAGAATCTAAGTGATACACAAATAAGAAACATTTTTGTTAATAGTTAAGGCGCATTAATGCATTTTTAAGATTTAAATCCTGAGTTTAGTGTCACTGTAATCTCAAATGAAGAATGGTGAAGGCCACAGGTACAGTCTGGTCCTATGAAGTTGCAGTTACCTTCACTGATGGTACTTTAGAACAATTTCAGATCAGGTTTCGTTGGAGACAAATACTATGTAAGAATAAAAAGTTTTCATTTCACAATCTTCTCTTCTGTCCTAACATAATATTTCACATTCAGGTGTCAAATCGGGAACACAAAGAGTTCCAGAAGAGCCAAATGTCAGAATCGAGTAATATCCGCAGTTATTCTTTGGACGTTCCTAAGAGGAAGGAAAAAGAGGAGCATTCAGAAAGAACTGAGGTACCTATCTATTTTTCTTTAAACCCTTTACAGACTCCAACATGTCCCCCCTGTCACCATGCCACCATATCAGCCATTTTGGTCTACTGTGGCTATAGTGACACGATCATGGCAATTAATGATAGCTCTGGAGCCATGGCAAGGAAGGATGACCTGCAACTTTAAGGTCCATAACTGGTTGAACTTATGACAGGTTTGCTTTAAAGAAATTAAAAATCTGTACCAGCATGCTCAATAAAATTATATCTATCAGATATGTTTTTTCAGGGGCCTTGTGATATTGGGGAGCTCACAGAGCACTCACACAGGGTTTTTCCACTAACCATAAGTCTTTATTATTATTTCAAAAGGCAGACAATAAAGGAAGTCCAACATAAAATAACTTGTTTTCAGCATATAACATCTGTTGGCTCACCAATCCTTGAGTTGTCCCACACACTCAGTGTCCCAGTCCTTTAACAGTTGTCTGTTGCAACCCTGCTGCTCCGGCCTCAATCCTCAGGGCCACTATCTGGTTCCTCCAGACAACCTCAATAATGTGTCAACCCGCATAATACGCTCCACAAACCCGCAGCTCCCTGCTGCTCTGGCCTCCACTCTGACTCCTGGGTGAAGTTCTCCTGTCTTCCAGGTGGGGTCCTCAACACATCCCAGCCCCCTCTTCATGAGGGTTGTACACAGGTGCACAATTAGGTGCTGGTTGCTACTAACACATGGACCCAGGAATGGAGATTTCGTCCCGCCCAGAGCTCTAAGAAATCTCCTGGCTCCAGGATCTCAACTATGATCCAGAAAACCTGGAAAGGACTGAAAAGCCAGTTCTTTACTGGTTCAAGCAGTGCAATTTCTTCCTGGAGCCACTCAGCCCCCCTGGCTGAGAACCCTGGGTGACTTTGAGGCCATCTAACACTGTGGTATTGCCACGCAATGCCACAGCCTTTGTATGAATGTTGCCTTAGCATAAATTTACACTTATTTGATATAAACTTGACTCCAAACATTAGACAAGTGCATACAGGATAATTCGCTAAGCACTAACTGACAGATGCAGCTGCTGTCAGCTGGTAATTTAATTTAGTGGGTCATTTATTTGTTGTGGTTCATTAAGACCAGATTTATGTGCCACCTGAATGGAGATGTTTGTGCAAAGTAGAATTTTTCTTTTGTGCTTGTATTGACTGAAATCATATTATCTGTAGAACAGAATAAGTTCATAGTGTGCACTGTTACCATTGAAATGATAATTATGCATTGTGTTTGTTTTACTTAACACCTAATATGACCGTTGTGTAAATAATGTATAAAGTGTGCCTTCAATCGTTTGCTGTTATCAGTGAAGTAAATAGGGTACGGGTAATAAGTCATTGTAATTACTACACCTCCACTTATATTTTCACTTTGAGAAAGAACACAAGAGGCCAAAAATAATGATTGCAATGGCAACTTTTTGTTCACCAGGAATATTTGACTAAAAACCTGTGGCCAGGCCACAAACGTTCAAGTATTTACATTCTTTGCAAGCATTAAGGGCAGGTACACCCCATTTTCTGGACCAGATCCGGAACGCAGTGCATTGCGTTTTTGCCGCGTTGTTGCAGCATTTTTATCGTGATTTTGCCGCATTTGGATTTTTGGGAGGTGGCTTAAAATGATCTTACAGGTGCGTTCCAGTGTGTTTGTACGTGTTTTTGATGCGTTTTTATGCATTCCAGTGCATTCCAGACAAGACAAAATAGGACAAGCAGTATTTTTCTGGTCTGTAACGGGCTGCGCTAGTGTCAACAGAAGCCAGAAATAGCATAGGGATACATGAGAATGCATTTTGGGTCCAGAAACAGTCTTGTCTGGTCTGGAGATGATCCGGACATGGTGTGAATGGGCCCATTCACATCATGTCCGGATCATCTCCAGACCAGGCCAGATTGTTTCCAGTCCCAAAATGCATTCTAATGTATCCCTATGCTATTTCTGGCCTCTGTTCACACCAGTGCAGTCTGTTCCTGACCAGACCAGACCACAAAAATACTGCATGTCTCATTTTGTCTGGTCTGGAATGCACTGGAACTAGGGCAGGTTCACACCATTTTCCGGACCAGAACTAGATCAGATCTGGTCCGGAAAATGGTGTGAACCTGCCCTTAATGAGCTCTATATCAAGGCCCCACTGACCTCTCTAACTGCAGGAACTGTGGAGCAATTAATTTGCAAAGTTCATATTAGAAGCACTGATGTCCTTCAAGATCTTGTTTCAGCAACTTGGCTCCTTCTGATCCTCTCCCCCCAAATCTTCTGCTCTGTGGTTATATTTAAGATTTGAGGGCTGCTTGGTCACTTCTAGGAGGGTGGAGTAGGGTGAGTTGAGTCATTGGGTCCTTGCCAGAAGAGGGAGACGCGTGGGCTTAGCTCCTGAGTCATTGCTGGGAGGGGGAACAGGGTAAGCGGAGCTGCTAAATCATTGCTGAGGGGGGATCTGAGCTGCCAAGTCACTGCCGGGAGGGGAAGCAGTTGTAAACCTTTATTGATGAATTACTCCACAGTGCCTATAGCTATCGATGTCGGTGTGGACTTGTTTACTACTTGTTTAAAAGCTTGTTTACTACTTGCTAGGAATATGTAACTTTTTGAATGTTAATAGCTTTGCCACCATGTTACCATGTTAATGTTGCTCTGAAAAGGAAGAAGCTGGACTCTGTCCTTGAAGAACTGCAGGTCCCAGTGCGTAGGTTGGCAGATTGTGCTGGACTAAGGGTATGGCTAAAGCCAATTTTGTTAAATGGAGTGGGGGAAATGTTTTAACCCCATGTCAGGTTTTTATTGCTGTGTGTGTCCCAGTAAAAGACATTCACCCTCTCAATTTCTTCTGGTATTACCAAGACTGAACATGACAGGAAAACCAAAATTTGCAGTTGCCTTGGAAGTTGAGGGAAGATATGCTAATAGAAACACCAGTTCTGGAGACAACTGTCTATGAGGGATTTTCTTTTTAGCTTAAAATCAGCTTTCCAGCGCGTTCTGTGCATTTTTTTTTCACGTTCCGGTGCGTTCCAGACCAGAAAAAATAAGACGTGCAGTATTTTTTCGGTCTGGAACGGAAAGCACTGCAAAGGTGTGAACTGTAGCCCAGAAATCACATAGGGATACATTGGGAATGCGTTTTTGGTCCAGGAGCTAACTGTTCTGGTCTGGACAGAATCTGGACATCGTGTGAACAAGCCCTTAGTGTAGTTGTTTCACTGGAAGGGTTGAACTGCAGTGTGAGCAGCTTATGACCCTTTAGATATGACCCCTGTTTTTAGATGAACGAGCATAGCTGTGCAAGCAAGGACCTCCAAAACAGATCTTTGTCCCTTCAGGAGCCTTTTGGACATCGCCCACCAGAAATGCGGATGGCTGAACTCCGTCCCTCATTAATCGAGACTCCGTTGTACCCTCCCAAACTGGTTCTTCTTGGAAAAGATAAAAAAGGTAGGTGTGTCGTATTTAATTCATCATTATGTTTGATCGTATGGTTCTCAATAAGTCAAAATGTCCTCAAAAGCACCATTGATAGTGGAGAGAAATGTAAACTTGATCAACCGATGAGTCCTCCTAATGGTGCGTTTAAACCCCACAGAGTCTACAGACGACTCAGAGATGGATAAACACCATCACAACAGCGTGTCTTCGGGGACCTATTCCGACTACTCCCCTTCACAGGCGTCATCAGGATCTTCTAACGCACGCATCAAAGTGCAGATATCTGCTAAAGAGGCAGTAAATAGCTCATTGTGGGGTAACAGGTCTGTTAACCTTTCATATATTCCATTCTGACTTGTGCATGTGTACGCAGGGAACGTATAAACAAGCACTTCAATTTAAAGTGTAGCTCAAGCAAAAAGTTTTTTTGGGATAGAATAGGGAGGGTTACAAACTCTTGTTAATAACCAGTGTTACAAATGACTATTTCAGTGATTAAGTTGACTCGCTTTGGTGAGGCTGCTCGCATGTACCAGAGTATTCCCAACAAAAGAAGGGTCCAATGATAAGTCCACATATGTAAAAAGCAGTAAGGCCACCACACCAATGGTCATAGAGTCCAGAATTGTTTTTCTATTAAATATTTCATGGAAAAAGAGAGCCAGTGTGTTTCGGGGGATTCAACATTCTATATCATATATCATATGACCGCAAACCTAACTGGAATTAGTGGGATTTTGCCAACTAGCAAGTTGTACACCTTTTTCATATATACAACTATGATCAAAATCCCATATAAGTCCTGATGAAGGGGGAGTATCAGAACCCTTAAAATATGTTGGCTCTCTTTTTCCGGTGCCCTTACTGCTTTTTTTTTCAATCATATGATTTTTATTATATATTTTAATAATAAAATACAATTCACTACAAATACCATACAAATAAAAAATAAACACACAAAATACAAAAAAAAAGACAAAAACGAAATAAACAAATGCCACAAAACCCACCCCGCCACCCTTTTACCTATACCAGCCCCCCCCCCAAAAAAAACAAATAATAAAAAAAATAAAAGGAAGAGGGGAAAGACTGAGGGAAACAAGACATTCCTCTGTGTCACCAATATCTTTATCCTCTAAGAAAACTTAACCTCTACGACTTTTTTTATCTCTGTATCCACCTTGGTGGAGAGTCACCCTACTTGTACAAAATAATTGAAAGGATAATTGTAACCAGTCCACGGTTCAGTGCTAGGTGGAGCTCTTTGTAGGAATTATTGTATCAAATCTTTACTTTGCAGATCAAACCTTTACTATTTGCTTAAAGTGACCCTGTCGCTATACAAACAACTCACAGCGCCCAGCAAGGGACATGCAATCCGACACACCCAGAAGTATCAGATAACAGTAGTGCCCAAAGCTCTTGAAGAGAGTAAAGATTTTAGTTAAAAGTTTATTATTGTCTTCATACTTTTACTTGACTCAGTCAGTGATGCGTCCAGTTTTAAGCACCTTGGGCCATTTCTGGGAGAAGGTTGGCAATACTAATAGATTGCTGCTGAAATTCGAACAGCACTGTCACCCTCTCCCAATTATTTGAGAACGCTGTAGCCCAGGAGTTAACAATCTATATGGAGCAACTTTTTGACTGGGACTCAAGGAGTAGTGTTAAGAATAGTAGTAGAGGTGTTTCTAAAATGTTTTAAGCAGCATTGCTTGAGTGCCAGTGTAGCGCTCGGCATGCACTACACTGTCATAGGTTTTGTATGCTAGCGCTTACACATATTTTAATGGTTTCAGCAATGAGATTCAGTGCCCATAGGCCCTACACTGTCCACCATGCCTTTGCTATTCCCTCACCATCCTGGTCCATGCAGGTTTCAGCAGTTGCCCCCCCCCCCTGCTGGTTGACTTATTGGAATTCAGGGGTGGGCATTGACTGCCTTGTGCTGCACCAATCAGTGTGCAGCCAGTATGGCATGCCGAGAGGATAACGTGGACTTATTTCTGCGGCCGTCGATAATGAAACTGCTGAGGTGATTAATAGTTTTACCTGATGATTATCATTCTTATTCCACCATTTATACTTGTCACAAGCACCACTGGAACCTGACACAGGGATGCATTGTAAATGTCAGGTTTTTTTTTTTTTATGAAGTGCAAAGAATACCTATTTTTTTTACTAAACTTGTTTGATGTTTTTATATGCACAAAAGTGAAATAGGCTTACATGTGAAATAGACTGACTGTCTCAGGCAGAATTTAGAAAAAGCTTTATAGTCTGGAGGAATAAAAATACTTACCTTAATACTTGGGGGGGGGGTTATGGGACTATATATAGTAATATCTGACTGCTGAATGGAGTTCAACTCTAAACAAATAGCCAACTTGGGTTATAATGTTTTTTTTTTTTTAAATGTCCTTTATTTACAGAATGCAATGATAGAACTACACAAATCTTTCTATTTTCCATAGAAATATAAGACACATTGCCCCAATGCGTATGGAACATATAAGGTAAACATAATACTCTATGGACAAAAATCAGGCTTGCTAAGGATAGAAACGATAACGTGTCGTACACTGAGCCACCAGGAACTTGGGTTATAATGTTAACTCTGATCAGTGGAAGTTAAAAGAGACCTATGGGCCAACCTTTTTTTGGCCATAGTTCTCTTCAGGGTCATAGAAGGACATTTACTAAGTCCTCCTGTAACCCAAAACTCAGCATAGCCTGCTATATGCCGACAACGCAGAGCAACGCTGCGACTGGGAAAGATCTCAACAATATTTTCAGGATCCACCCCGCCACCAGATTGACAGCTGGCTCTGCCTGTCTAGAGGTTCTTGGTCAGGATCTTGGTGGAAGATATCCTCTAGAGATGCCCAAATGGTTTAGGTCATAGGAGCTCAACCCCACCAAGTTTCAAAACACAACTGCAAGAATAGATTTTTGTTTGATTTGCACTTTTATACTTTTGTTCATGCCCCCTAAAAAAACAAAGCATATTTTTGTGACCACCAACATTAACGTTGTTAACATTGTTTTTCCTGTCCCATAGGCTAACTCAGTCCTTCCCGCAGCAGATTGAATCTAAGCCATTATTAAGCCAGCGGGAGACGGCGCCCATGGGCAATCTACAGCAACGCAATGACCGGCAGAACCTAAATGACTCGTTCACCGAAAACTGGAACAACAGTTCGCATTACGATAACACCGGATTTGTAGCTGAGGAAAACACGGTGGACAGTTCGGGAGGCAATCCGATGCTGAATTCAAAATCGAGGAGTACGTCCGCTCACGGGAGGCGGCCGTTAATCAGGCAAGATCGGATTATTGGCATTCCTTTGGAGCTGGAGCAGTCGACGCAAAGGAACCCTCAAGAACCTGATGTATCTCCGAGTAACCCTTGGCAAAATTGGACCCGGACTCCCAGTCCTTTTGAAGACAGAACAGCTTTTCCATCTAAACTTGAAGCCACCCCTGTAAACAGCCCATTGCCAGAAAGGAAAGAGCATAAGCCACAGTCCTTAGAGAACCCAAGCACATTCTCTTCAACTCCACCATGGGAATTTCATGATACGGGCCCCAATCGGAACATTGGGAATGTATTTTCGCATGGCCACTGTCGTCCCGAATCCGCCAAAAATACCATCTCGGTGAGCAAGAGTACAGAAAGGCTCTCGCCTTTAATGAAAGACTTGAAGACAGGCAGGTTTAAGAAGTCTCAGAGTATAGATGAAATCGACATTGGTGCATTCAAAGTCTACAATATACCTTTGCAAAACTATGATCCAAGAAATATCATGCAAGGAAGCCATGACAGACCAGATTTGGGGATGATGCAGGAGCACAGTATGTCTAGAAGTCAATCGGTACCAATGCTTGATGATGAATTATTATGTTACGGAACCAGCAGAGGACAGCCACAGAAACCTGTTGCAAAAAAAGTGTATCAGTTTGACCAAAGTTTTAACCCGCAGGGTGCAGTTGAGGTGAAACCGGAAAAGAGAGTTCCTCCTCCTTTCTCATATAATCCTGACTACTCACTGCAGCAAACAAAATCCATGGCAAAAGATTTAATCAGCCCGAGAGCCTATAGGGGATACCCACCAATGGAACAGATGTTCTCCTTTTCTCAACCCTCAGTCAATGAAAATACCATTCCACCTCAGTTTACAAATCAAAGTTCAAGGCCAGGGTTTTTGAAAAGAGCAGATTCATTGGCAAGTGCCACCGAGATGTCTATGTATAGGAGAGTGAGTGAACCTCATGAAATTCCACAGACGGACCGGTACGGTAGGGCACCCTTCCTCGGGGCTATTGAACGGCAAAGCAGCATGTCAGTGGCTGAATCCCAGTTCCTAAAAAGGAACGGTCGGTACGATGATGACCATACTTCCTATCCAGACATGAAACCTCAAGCAGGCAGTTATCAAGTGAAAACCTTGACGCAGCGGAGGCCATTGTCTGCCAGAAGTTACAGCACAGAGACTTATGGAACTGCTCAAACGCGACCTGTTTCTGCAAGGCCAACAATGGCAGCGCTTCTAGAAAAGATACCATCTGATTACAATTTGGTGAACTATGGTGAAAAGTCAGCAGACAGTGAAATCAAGGCACGGCAGAACCAGGCGAAGTTAGACGAGAGCATTAACAAAATGCCACCGGACTGGAGACAACAGCTGCTTAGACACATAGAAGCTAGAAGATTGGACAGGGTATGTTTACAAGCTCTTATATGATTATATTTTGTTTCCATATCTTGCAATAGTAGAAGTTCAAGGATTTATAATGTTGCTTTAATGAGATCCATCAGCCCTCAGGACATGCAAAATGATGTATCTAGATTTTGTTGATCCTAGTTGACCGTAGTTGACCCATCTGATGAAAAATGTGAGATCTTCTGACTTTCTGTGTCACTTTTCTTTCACTGTTCACTGACTGCATAGTCAAATCATTGTTGTCCCCAAAAGTAGGTCTTGATAGTTGAATCTTGATCTGATGATTCAGTGTTGAAATATATTTGGATTAGTAAGGTCACCCAAATACTTTTTATACCTAAAGTGCTGTTAAGCAAGAGTTTTTTTGAAGCATCATCTACCTGAGGTTATATAGCAGTGACCAGTTTAGTGGGAAGTTTGCATTAGAGGCTCATGTGTGATCTTGGCCTTGGGAATGCAGTTTGTGAACAATATAGCCAATCAATTCATGCCATATGTGGATTTATTGGATGTAAGCTGTCCAGGCTCCCCTCCCCCTTCCCTTCCCAATTAGGTCCAGCAATGGATTGATTTCAAGGTGCCCCAGGAGATTGTTATCTAATATTAATAGACACTTTGGCTGATCCATGCATCAGTGCCCTACAATCCATGTGCTAATTTCTATTGCTTAGAGAAGGTACTTTGGCATGTCAACCTTTGATCTCTGTTTTGATGGTGCAAATGACACACCGTCTCTGCTGACTATTGTTTCCTGTTTGCTTGCATCTGGATCTTGGGTAAGGTTTGCTTGCATCTGGATCTTTAAAGGCTAAGTTCACCTTTTGCACAAATTTGATCATATAAAAAAAAAAAATGCATTTCTTTAATTTTTGCATTGAAGCCTGGAAAGCATTGCAGTGGTGATCACTCGATCAGGGCTGCAGAGCTCAGGCTTCTGCACATTCTCTCCCACACAGAGCTCGTGGTGAGGTACGCAGTTTAAGTTAGGAGAGATGGGGAAGGATGGCTGAACGGGAATAAGGACAGCTCTACCGCATCTAACCAGAGCGAGGACGGCTGGACGCTGTATGAGGTGCTTTAATGCAGTTTGAAGTCCAGCCTGATCGAGTGATCACCGTTGCAATGCTTTCCAGGCTTGAATGCAAAAATGAAAGAAATGCATATTTGTTTTAATATTATTAAATATGCATTTCTTTAATTTTTCCAAAAGGTGAACTTAGCCTTTAAGTTGTCTGTCAGCAAGAAGGCTAGGAGCTTCTCAACTGCACCATGAAAGCAGCATCCATGGGACAACCTCTGCTTGTTTCAAGAAAATATCTTAGCAAAAGGAAAGAGGAATCTTCAGATGTTTGAAATATCAACCTTCATTAGATGAGTGGTTATCCTGATGCTCATGAGGGGTTTCTGTTTTCTTTGCTGCCTTTGAGGGACACAAAGATACCCACAATCTGGCTCTGGTGAATTTGGTGGCAAATGTTTACTGATTGTCAATCATCTGATGGATTTGTGATATTTTTATTTGCAGTGCTTTGAGATTTAGATGGTTAGTGAATGCTTTATTATACAGTCATGGGGGACATAGATTATTTCCGTTTGTTTCAGGGGTTTAATGTGAAGTTTAGCATTGCAATGTTAAAATGGAAGGTATGTGTCATCATATGCCGCCATGACCCCCTCACAAATAAAAATATGCTCCTTTGATTACATCCTGCAATCAATCATGCAATATTTTATTCCACCACAAATCCAGCTGTTTTAGTCCTTATTCATACAAGATATGAGCACCATGATGTCTATGCAATAGGGCTTAGGGAGCAGCCTGCTGGTTCAGTCACTAAGGCAGTCATGATGATGATTAAAGGAATGATGATTCACCAGCACTTCATGGTTTGAAATAAAACTCCAAGACATTTATACCTACCATTTGTATATTGCAGTGCTGTACTTAACAATATTGTGATGGGCTTTAGGTTTCTGTCAAGTGGTTTATTAGGTAAATTGTATTTTAATGTCCATACTGAATAAAATGTAACCATGTTTCCTAAAACCAGTCATAAGATGTGACACAGAAAACTACTTAAACCCAGATAGCAAGCAATTGAGCTGCAAGTTTGAAAATGACTTGCTAAACTATTGCTAGACTTGCCAAGCTTCACAATTTTGTTGCACAATTACAGCAAGTCTCCAGATCATCGAGCTTTGCAAAAGTGCTGTACACTTGCAGAGCTCTTGCTAAGACCTGCAGGACTCTTGCTGTAGACTTGCCAAGCAAATTTGCTACAAATTCAAAAAGTGTCAACTAGAACTTGTGATGCGAGTGTTCTGCAAGTCTACAACTTGCCAGGAATATGTGCATCAAGTTAACAAAAATTACAATTTCACCCTGCCACAAGTTTGTAGCAAGTTATCCTTGCTATCTGGGAAGCTGAACTTTGGGATAAGCAGATACATAAGGCATATGTATTCTTACTTTTATCCTGATGTCCTTTGTGTATTTCTTTTGATCCATGCAGAGACTTTGCCTCTGTGCAGGATCTTCCTGTAATAAAGACCGGTCACTGCTGCTCTCTCCTTGTGCAGGATCAGTAGGTCTTGTCTCTGCCCCCTCCTGTAGTTTTTTTTTCGACAGCTTGTAGCAGGTGGGGCCTACTTAGTCCCTCCCACAGCTTTGCTCTCTGCATAAGCTATGTGCAGCACAGTGATGATGTCACCACTTTTTTGCAGGGTTATATCTACGTTTGTAAAGGTATTTGGTGCACACAAAGCAGATTGATATTATTTTTTTGCTGTTCAAGAATATATTTAAATTACATTTTTTCCACCCTGAGTTCAGCTTTAAATACTCAACATAAGGTGCACAAGTTTGCATTTCCATACTGGCCACACACGATGGTCTAGGATAGCTCTTGGCCAGTTTTCTCACCTCCTCAGGGTTAAAGTGCTGTGCTTTGTGGTTAAAGTGTGTATCTAAAGCCAGAATTATCTTTTTCTGGTTTTGTTTTGTATAGCGTAGGGAAGGCTTACAAACCCTGTCAGGTTTATTTTTTTTCATGCCAGTGTCACATTGTTAAGATTTCCCTGCACTTCCTGTCCCATACAACCATGGCCATCCCTATATTAAGACAGCCTGAGGCAGTCACCTCAGTTGGCATCTCATTAGGGGGGCGGCAGGCGTTGGAGAGGGACGACAGAAGGGCGACCACAGTGTCCCAGGTTGCTAAGAGCTCTTAGCAACCTGTGACTCTGTCTGGCTTCCCGCCCAGCTCACTAGTGTAATTGGTTGTCAGGGAGCAGAGCGGGCCTGGCTCTGGCGTCCCGGTGAGCTGGGCGGGACCGGAGAGAGCCCCTTACAGCGCGGCTCTACACAGCTGTTTCTGCATTTCCCACCGCATCTGCTGTAAAGCACCTATTGGCAACAACCGCCGCACTCCTCAGCATCAGCAGCCATCCCCACCCCCACCCTACTACTCTACTGAATCAGACAGCATATACAATTGGGAGAGCCCTGCATAGAACCAACAGGAAGTGAGAAGAAATCGCTCCATAGTATGGAAGATACACTCATGGACAACTGTCACTGGAGAAAGATGAAGACTTATCCTCTATTCCCATCCCTTTGGCAATTGAAAATGTTGGATTCTCCCATTACATTCAGTCCCGGTGGCAGTGGTCACCAGGACTAATACTGAGGGATAATCTCTCCAGCAGGGACACAGGCAGAAAAAGTAACATTGGTTCTAAACCCTCACCACTCTATCCAAAACAAATGGCTTTGATACACTTTAACCCATTGAGCTGGTGAACGTGCAGTTTGATTGACCCGGGTGCCTGTGATGTCATTTGGGGAGGAAGTCTGTCTAAGTGCTGGTTGGCATGCACCGGTCCACTCCAATGACCGCCAACTTTTTGAGTTCATCACTTTTTCGGTCACTTAAACTATACAGTCGTTTAACAAAAAGAAAAAAGTTCTAAAAATTAATTTTGTAACAAAGTATCCAGTTTATCCTGAACTGTCATACTAGTGAATTCATTGGCTCCAACTTTTCCTGTCTGTACGATAAGAGAAAGAGAAACTAAACCCAGCCTCATGGTTTTTGCAGGCAGTTAAACAGAATGGATCTCTCTATGTCAGTTCTGTAAGTGTATTGGTCTTTCTGTATTATGTATCTGTGTACAATATGCTTTGTCTGCTGGCCCGAGGCCCAGAATGTGCTTCACACTGTATCTCTGTGGGCTTTCTTTGCTATGTTTGTATCATATTTCCCACGTCAGTTCAGCATGTATGTTCATACCTTGTCATCGCATTGTCTCCTCCATTCAGAATGCCGCTTATAAGCACAACACTATTAACCTTGGCATGCTGCACTCAGGATCGCTCGCGGGCATGCATGGTGGCAAAAGCATGAGTTATACTATGCATCCGTCAGCTTACTACCAAGACATACCTCTCTACAATGTAAGTATGCGGGCCAAGCCGCTGGACACTCAGATAACTCCTGTTGTTTTCTGTCTTCCCTTTACTTAAAGGATCAGTCCACTATTTTTTTGGTAGGTGCTGGTGGCTGCTTCTTATAACTTTCAAAGGCTCCACTGCTGGAATACCCCTCCAGTAGGTTGTGGCTCCATCCCCACCCACAAGGCTGTAATTCTTTTATATATTCTCCATCTGAGTTGGGGTAACACCATTGTGTGATGGTGGGAGATATCACAACGGACTGCTGAGAAATATCGGAAGCCAACACGTGATCAACTTGCCGGCAACCGTTTTGGGGGAGGATTAGGTTAATTAAAACTAATATTTCAGTGTCAGCTGGTAAGCAGCCAGTTAAATCAGCCACAGGCTTCTTATATGACCCAGGACTCCATTGGGAAGGTATTTGCCCCTGAGTTCCCAGCTCTGCCCATTTGCCACGACCATTATGCAAGGCTCTAAAGCTAGCCATACATGGCTTGAATTTTGGCCAATTCCTGCAGAATCCGTCAATATTCAAGCCATG